CAACACGGGGCTCAAACCCACAAACTGTGAGATCATGACCTAAGCTGAAGTCAGACACTCAACTGACTGAGCCACCCAGGTGCCCCCATAAGAGACTCTTAAATACAGAGACCAAACTGAGGGTTGAAGGTGGGGGGCAGAGAGGGGAAAATTGGTGAAGGGCACTTGGTGGGATGAGCACTAGGTGTTGTATGTAAGTGATGAATCACGGGAATCTAGCCCCCAAACCAAGAGCACAGGGTATACACTGTATGTTAGCCAACTGGATAAGAAATTAAATTAAAAATAAATAAATAAATAAGTAAACAAACAAACATAAAGTGGCCCCTTACATGTGGCAAAATGGAGTAGCCTTTGCCAGTGTCTATGCCAAATGGCATGGAGTGGCTATTTATCATATTTCTCACTTAGGAATAGGTTTGAGGCCTATGAGCATTTCTTTCCACAGCACTGTGGTCTACTAATTATGTGGTACTCAGGAATTCAGTAACTTGCAGGCCTCCCTTTTCTTATATTACACAGGGTGCAAGGGCACTTCCCAGCATCCCTTCTTCCAACCATAGGCAAGAACTCTTATACAGTATATATACAGGATGAGTTTAAACCAGGCACCACTATTCTGGTGACCAAGGTAGTTTAAAGTCAGTAAGAGCAAAAAGCAGACGTAAGTGTTGGTTAACTACGCTGAGCCTCATTCCTCTTCTATTTATTCTGGGCCTCTGAAGACAAATGATTTTATTCAGATTTACCAGAAGGAGGAATTTGTTTTAAAAGACTAGTATAGTTTAAATTAAAATCAAATTATCATCAATAAATCAATAAAATTCAGGTTAATCACCCCCCTCTTTTTTTTTACAACTTAGAAGAACACAAAGATACAAACCTTGAATTTTCTTCTCACTTCTGCTATTTTGTCCTCTAATTCCTCTGTTTTAAATTTGGTTAGGTGGAAAATAGCACCAAGGTGATAAGCTTGCCTGTAGAGTTGCTTAATAAATTCATCATTTTTTCCCCTTAGTTTCATCAAAGATTGGATTTCAGACTCAAACTCTGATTTTTTTCTTATACTATAAAAAACAAAGCAAAAGAATTGACAAGATTATTCCAAGAAGGTATATATTGAGGCAAATATATTTAATAGTAGTAAAAAAGGAACAAAGTCATATTTTATGTTGCCTAAAATATAAAATAACCAGAAACTTAACTAAATCTTGAATATAAAAAATATGACCCAAAATTCCATTTATTTTCCTGCTTTTCCTGTTGGCTGCTCTTAATTGTCAGGCTGTGCTCAATCTCAGAAGGATAAGTGTATCAATAAGAAAGGCAGGTACCTCAAATGCTCAGTTTTCAGAACATTCATCCCTTCCTTCTAAAACAATCCATTCTTTCTAATCTTATATAAATTATTATTAATAATAATCAAGTATGAGCAAATCCAGTCCATGAAAAAGAGAAACAAAAGAAAACCAAAAACTAAAAGCATTCAAAAAGAAAACCCCCAGCTAAGGAAAAGAGTCAATAAAAGAAAAGAGTGAAGACATTAATATCATTTTAAGATTGGATACCAACTTTTTCAGATACACACACTGGGGCATACAATGTAAAAAGCATACATTCACAAATGAGGTAACCAAGAAACTAGCCAAAGGTATTCCACCAGATGTGCTACCTGGGCAAGGTCCACTGCGTCACAGCAGGGGTTTTTGAGTTGTACTTGTTTGTGAAAGCACCAACTTACTATTGAAGTCTATAGGTTTATAGAAAGGTACGAACTACGATTGGGAAGAAAAGACAAGAGACTGAGAACTCAACCAGTAGGAAAAGAAGAAATTTTTTTTAAATGAAATAAATGAAAATAGAAACATAACATACAAAAAGCAGTTCTAAAAGGGAAGTTGATAATAACAAATGCCTCCATTAAGAAAAAGGAAAGATTTCAAACCACATAACTTTACATCTCAAAGACCTAGAAAAATAAGAACAAACTAAGCCCAAAGTTAGGAGAAGAGAAGCAATAACAACAATCAGAACTGAAACAATTGCATTAAACCAAAAACTATAGAAGAGATCAACAACAAAAAAGCATGGTTTTTAAAACATATGTAAACAAAACTGACAAAACTTTACACGAAAAAAAATAAAGAGAAAACTCACATAAATAAAATCAGAAATAAAAAGGGCCACATTACAACTGACAACTTAGAAATACAAACTACTAGGAATAATTATATGCCAACAAATTGGATACCCTAGAAGAAATACATTCCTAGAAACACACAATCTACCAAGACTGAATCATGAAAAATTAGACAATCTGAACAGGCCAAGAATGAATAGGAAAACTGAACCAGTAATCAAAAACTCCTAATTAAAAAAACACTCAACCTGATAGCTTTATTGATGAATTCTACCAAACATTTAAAGAATAATTAATGCCGATTGTTCTCAAACTCTTCTAAAAAACTGAAGAGGATGGAAAGCTTCCAAACTCAATTTAAGAGGCCAGTATTACCTTGATACCAAAGCCAGATGAAGACATTACAAGAAAAGAAAATTATAGACCAATATCCCTGATCAATATAGATGCAACAAAATATAGATCTTCAACAAAATCCTACCAATCTGAATTCAACAACAAATTAGGTTCAAATACATAAATCAATAAATGTGATACACCACTTTAGTAGAATCAAGGATAAAAATGTGATAATCTCAATAGATGCAGAAAAAGTATTTGACAAAATTCAATATCAATTCATGATAAAAACTCTCAAAAATTGTATATACAGGGAGTGTACTTTAACATAATAAAGGCCATGTATGAATAACAAGTCCACAGTTAACATCATACTCTATAAAAAGCTGAAGATTTTTCTTCTAACATGAGGAAAAAGCCAAAGGTGCCCACTCTTAACCATATCTATTCAACATAGTACTAGAAGTCTCAGAGTATTTAGGCAAGAAAAAGAAGTAAGAGGTATCCAAATCAGAAAGGAATAGCTAAAATTTTCTGGTTGCAGATGACATGATCTTATATAGAAAGAACCTTAGGGGCGCCTGGGTGGCTCAGTTGGTTGAGCGGCCGGCTTCGGCTCAGGTCATGATCTCGCGGTCCGTGAGTTCAAGCTCTGCGTCGGGCTCTGTGCTGACAGCTCAGAGCCTGGAGCCTGTTTCCGATTCTGTGTCTCCCTCTCTCTGCCCCTCCCCCATTCATGCTCTGTCTCTGTCTCAAAAATAAATAAACGTTAAAATTAAAAAAAAAAAAAAAGAACCTTAAAACATCCATCAAAAAAAAAAAAAAAACTATTAGAACTAATACATAAATTCAGTAAAGCTGCAGAAAACAAAATCAATATACAAAAATCTGCTGCCTTTCTATATACTAACAATGAACTATATGAAAAAATTAAAACAATCTCATTTACAATAGCATCAAAAATAATAAAATATGTAGGAATAAATTTAATCAAGGATGTGAAAGAAAGATCTATACACTGACACTAAACATAAAACATTGATGAAAGAGATTCAGGAAGACAAAGCTTTGGAAGGATATCCTGTGTTCATGGATTGGTATAATTAATAATGTTAAAATGTCTATGCTGCCCAAAGCAATCTAGAGATTCAATGCAATCTCTATGAAAATTCCAGAGGCATTTTTCACAGAGACAGAAAAAAAAATCCTAATATTTGTATAGAGCCACAAAATACCCCCAAAATCCAAAGCAATCTTGAGAAAAGAAGAACAAAGCTGGAGGTATCACCCTTCCTTATTTCAAATAGTATTACAAACTATAGTAATCAAAGCAGTATGGTACTGGCATGACAAACAGACACACAAACCAGTAGAACACAATGAAGAACCCAGAAAAAAAAAAAAAAAAAAAAAAACTTTGACAAGGATGCCAACAACACACAATGGAGAAAGAATCATCTCTTCAGTAAATGGTGCTGGGAAAACTGGATAGCTACATGCAAAAGAATGAAACTGGACCCTTATCTTACACCGCTGACAAAAATTAAATTGAAAAGGATTAAGGAATTAAATGCAAAAGCTAAAATTATAAAACTCCCAGAAGAAACACAGCGAAAAGTCTCCTTGACATTTGTCTTGGCAATTATTTTTTGCCTTTGACACCAAAAGCACAGGAAACAAAGTAAAAAATCAACAAGTGGGATAACATCGAATTAAAAACCTACTGCACAGAAAAAAAATCAACAAATTGAAAAGGCAACCTACTTAATGAAAGAAAATATATTTCAAACCGTATGTGGTAAGACATTAATATCCCAAATATATAAGGAAATTATATAGCTCAGTAGGTAAAATCTAAAATACTCAACTAAAGAATGGGCAAAGGACCTGAATAGATATTTTTCCCAAAGACATAAAAATGGCAACTACGTGCAAAAGATGCTCAACATCACTATCTCCAAGGAAATGCAATTCAAAAACGTAATGAGATACCACCTCCCATCAGTTAGGATGGCTTTTATCAAAAAGACAGAAAATACTCCAAGGATGTGGAGAAAGGGAACTCTTGTATACCGTTGGTGGGAATGTAAAATGGTATACCCATTATGGGTCACAGTCTAGGGGTTCTTCAAAAAATTGAAAACAAAACTGCCATATGATCCAACATTCACTTCTACATATATAGCTGAAGAAACAAAATCACAATATCAATTTCTTGAAGAGATATCTGCACTCCTATGTTCATTGCAGCATGATTCATAATAGCCAGTATATGGAAACAAACTATCAATGGATAAATAAAGAAAATTCCACGTATATACGGGATACTATTCAGTTACAAGGAACAATGAATGAATCCCGTCATTTGCAACAAGATGGATGGACTTACAGGACAGTTATGTCCAGTGATATAAGCCAGACAGAGAAAGATAAATGTTACGTAATCTCACTTACATGTGGAATCTGAAATAATTAACAACAAAAATGAATTCAGAAAAACAGTGGAATGATGTTTAACAAGGGCTGAGTGGTGATGGAAATGGGAAGGACAGTGGTCAAGGTGTAAGCCTTCAGTTGTAAGATAAGTAATCTCTGAGGACCTACTGTATAATATGGCAACTACAGTTAATAATATTGTGTTGCTTACTTGAAATGTGCTAAGTGTATAGACCTTAATCATATTCACCACAAGAGAATAACACAGTAATGACAGAAAATGATTGATGGGTGGTAATTATACCACAAAGTGCATGTATATCAAATCATCACATTTTACACCTCAAATATATAGAATTATGTCAAACATGTTTCAATAAAGCTGAAATTTTTTTTTAAAAATAGAGAGGAAGGGGAGCCTGGGTGGCTGGGTCAGTTGAGCGTCTGACTTCAGCTTGGGTCATGATCCCACAGTTGTGAGTTTGAGCCCCGCATCAGGCTCTTTGCTGTCAGTGTAGAGCCTGCTTCAAATCCTCTGTCCCTCTCTCTCTCTTCCTCTACCCTATTCATGCACGCTCTCTCAAAAATAAATAAACAAAAAAATAGAAAGGAAGTATATATAACAAAATTATATCTGAAAAATTTCCAGTACTAAAAGCCAACATGGGTCACTAAAATGAAAAGTCTTACATAATGTTAAACTAGATATATTAAACGCAGAGAAGTACACACACCCCCAGACATGGAATTGTAAAGTTTCAGTACTCTGAAATGGGAAGAGAAAATTCATAAGTTTTCCAAGAGAAAAAACAGATTACCTACATGAAATGATACCCAAATGCCATCAGATATTATTATCAAGCAAAACTTAATAAATGGTTGATAAATTTAGAGATCTAATGTATGAGATGATGACTACGTAAATTATGGTATCAAACACTTGGAGTTTGATAAAAGAGCAGATTTCAGGTGCTCTCATTACACACACACACACACACACACACACACAAACACACATGTTAACTATGTGAGAAGATGGTGTGCTAATTAGCTTGACTCTAGTAATCATTTCACTATGTATATCAAATCATCATGAGGTAAACTTTAAGTACATATAATTTTTAAAAAACTAAATAAAACATGAAAGTACCT